ATATATATATATATATATATATATATATATATATATATATATATGCATATTAAACAGTTTGCTATTTGTTATTTATTTATTTGCGGAAAATAAACGTACAAATGCTCTAAATTTCGTTACTGAAAATTTATATTGTGTGATGAAAGACACGGTGCATATACGTATTAAAAAAAAGTATACACGTAAATACAAGCTTAGTTGGTTATTAATTTTTTATAATACTTTGAGGTTTTTTCAATTCAGTTACAAAGTACATTCCGAAAAAATTGAGAAGATTAATTTATCCGCTTTATAATCAGATTAATAATAATACGTACGTAATTCCGTAAGAGATAACAATAGTTTTTTTTTTTTTTTTATACGCACGTGATAGTTAAATTCTCTTGAGCCGGGATGTAAATCATCCGCGAAAGTAGGTCGGTCGTGAGAAGCTTGCGGAGTTTCGAAGGACCAATTCCTCTATATCGTAACTGCGGGACTGTGCGAGCAGGTCCGCGGCGGAATCAAGCGTCGAGTTCGTCGCCGGATCCCTTCTCGTTCACACTCGCGCAAAGGATTCTACTGGGTAGAGTTTGAAGTTCATTCGCGCGGAGTCACCGACGCGAGGCTTCGTTCGTCCCAAAAGCCGAGGGAGTGCAATTCCGCGAAATTCCGCCGTTACGTATAGATGTTACCCCACTCTCCCCCCATCTTCTCCCCCGCACACAAGTCTCATTCATACACGCAAACATGTCCGGGCGATTTCGGCTTTGCCGTCGCGCTTGAGATCATCTTGCACCGAAATAGTAGTCGCACATAGATCCAAACCTTCGCTTCTGAACGTCGCGTGGCAAAGCTCGCTCGTCATCTTTGCGCACACGATGCGCTGTTTCGCGACTCATCCGTGTAACTAACGTTGCGACGAACGTTACGTACGTACGTACGTGTGCACACGCGTCACGCTATCATAAGTTTGAGTTACATCGCCGGGATTTCAGAGTTGTAAGATAAAGAGCGCGAACGCGAAATATACTTACTCGCGATGCATGTACAAAGCGCGCGCGCGCGCTTCGGAAACACGCGCTCTTTGAAAGTCTCGACCCTTTGGGACGTAATTTTGAGCCGAAGAAAGTTTGCACAAGACACACAGCGCGTAACCGAAACATAATTGAGAAACTCCGATTATATGTATACGTATCGCGGAGAAAAGCAATTGCGAGAAGCGATATACAGTGAATAAAAACGAAAATACAATATTGCAAAATTTTTTTAGCGCGACGCAAAGTGACGGATATTTTTCGGAGCCGTAAAATATAATATAAACTCAGAGACGAAATGAATTCCTTTACGAAATTTATGCTCATTTGCATATATTTGCGGCGCGTATCCGCTTCGTTCGACACTCGCGGGAAATGGACTCGCGCCAAGACGCTACTTCATGCGCGCAGATAAAACCTTCCGCTCCGCAGCTTCGTTTCTCGCGGTAATATTTATATCGTCGTCTCGCGCATATGTGTGTGTGTGTGTGTGTGTGTGTTCGGAGTCTAGTGGTTAGTTATGAAGCGCGATTAAAATTCACATAACGGGAATCGCCAAATATATTTTGGCGGTAAAAATTGAGGCGAAACTCTCCGGACTGGTGCAATGGAATGGAATTTATATTGTGCGAGAATCTACGATGTAAAAGACTTTTATCGACTACGTACGTATGTGTGTGTGCGTGTGTGTAACTTTCAAGAGACTACGTCGCGGATCAGATAATTTCAACGAGAGTAATGTACTAATTCGCAACACTCGCGCGCGCGCGCGAACACTTTTATCGTTAAATATTTCGACCGACGTAATCTTCTCGACTGAAGCTGAACGTCGGAGCGTCTTCTTTCGCAGCGCGAGATGTGACGATTTACGCTCGCGGAATCAAAGCATCACTCACAGCGACGTTATCAGAAAATACATGGTCTTCATTTCTCGCGAATTAGCTCGTGCGACAACGAGCGGTCTTCTCTTCGAGAGATCAAACGCGCAAGAAACGAAACCAACGCTTCTCCTTCTTGTAAAGCTTCGCTCTTATCTCGCGGATATGTAGTTCGTTCACGCGCGCTCGGCAATCACAGCGCGAAAAACGGTCGAGAGGACGTTGCGAGTAAAGCGAACTGTCGTTTTTTGGCTTTCGGTGTCGCGATAAAAGGCACGAGGAGATATAGACACGAACGCGCGGCGCGTACACACCGATGTGCACCGGTTGCGAGAGGCAAAAGCGGGAAAACGAGAACGAGACAGAAAGCGGGTAAATAAGCCGTGAGTTTCCTCGTTCGCCCTAGTATATTTCGCAAGGCCGAGCGAGCTCCCGCCATAAACCCGGTTTGTACGCCGTATGAATACCGGGGCGTCTTTATTTATGACTTTTCGGGAAGAAGTTTGCGACGGGACACGACGACGGCGAAACCATTCCCGGCGACGACAGTCAAGTCGCGCGCGTACACCGCTTTTCATCGATTTTCCGCGCGCGGATGAAAACGCCGCGGGTCATTGCGCGAATCCAGCCGGAAAGAGCTCGTTTCTCTCGCCGCTTCAAGGTATAGGAGGCAATTGAACGGATCAACAGCGGTCTGACCCATTTTTGTTTTTTTTTTGTTTTTTTTTTCTTCTTCTTTTCCGGACTTGAGAACATTTTTGCCTTTGCTACGCGGATTGTCCTAAACTTCAATAAACGTCGGGTTTTTCTAGTCAAACTACGGTGATATTTTTTCTCGCAGTGGTTTTGTCGCGCACGCAAAAAATATCTCTTTACGCATCGAAATCTTTCATATTGAAAGATTTTTTCGAATTTTATTGTGTGTACAGTTTTCTACTTTGCTCTCTCTCTTTTCATTCTTTTGTGACATTTCCTTTCTCTTTTGAATGTACACACAGACGCGTGTGCGCGCGCATATGTGTCGTCCGCAAAGCATATTTGAGGACACGTGCATTTGCGTACACACACACACACACACACACACTTTGCGGTGACATAAGAGAGAAGTTGCGCTTTACATCGAGAACTTTCTCTCTCATCGAATGCGAATTGGAATTCGTTCAAAAGCACCGGTGTGTGTGTGTTCTTGTCTTCTGAATCAAGCGAAGCCGTGATACATAATTAAAACTTAAGACGTTACTACGTATGTAATCTTTGGTTTTGTTATCTGAGCAAACAAGCGGGATAGAGAATGTTTTCAGTCAATTTACACTGTTTACATTGTTAGAACCGGCGATGATATTTTTACGAAGGCAAAAATCAACTTTCCGTAATCGGCTTTTCTCGAGCTTTCTGTACATACAAGCCCCCGCTTAATTGCGAACGAGAGCGCGGAAGTCTTTGGTCTTGGCAGAAATTATCCGATCGAGGTTTAGTCGCTCGGAGAACTGCGGAACGGTAAAAAAAAAAAAAAAAAAAAATGTCCATTTAATTATTATTACACGGGTACTCGAAATTATTTTCTACGTTTGTTTCTCGAAAAAGTTTTTCGAGAAACGAGAGAAAGAAACGCAGCAAGAGAAAATACGTACGAATGTGTTGTCGATACAGAATTCATTGTGGTTATTATTTTCGAGATAAATAAATTATTTTATCCGATCATTTTGTTCCCGATCGGTGTAACAATTCGCGCCATTGTTCGAATTCTGGGTCTTTGATGAAGAATTTCTGTTGCGTTTGCGAAACCGCAATACGGCGTCGCAGTTATGCGGGAGAGATTACATCTCCAGGTTGTCCACAGTTCCGAACTAGAACTCCGCCCTAAAATCATACAGAATTATGGTATTGTTCGGTTGAGGATACACAGCGATGGTATTGTTGTTCGTAACAATCGGTTGCTAAACAATAATAACGTATTCTGATACGCACTGATATCTTCCTCGGTTCCGTTCTCTCTCTCTCTCTCTCTCTCTCCCTCTCTCTCTCTCTCTTTGTGCGCGTGTCTCTCTCTCTCTCTCTCGCAAATCAAATTCCAAATTTGTAATACCGATCTTTTTGTAATCTGCGGATTCATTTGTTCCGCAGCTTCGAATGCATGAAAAAGTGCAATTATTTTGAAATTTCAGTCCTTTCGTATTTGCGTTTTCTCATTATTTTGTAAATAATCCACTATACTTTTGTTTTTCTTTTTGTTTTGAGAAAAATGTTTTCGCAAAATCTGCTCGTCACAACGTTTTGTTCAACGAAATATAGGATAGGTACATTAGCGGAATCAGGAAAATATAAAATGAATGAAAACTTGACTTGTTGTCGGTTACGCGCGCGACATTTCTTTCTCTTTTTCATATTATTATCATCTTTCTTTATGCAAGAACAATTCGAGCGCTCCGCCCGCTACGTTTCGTTACGTTTCTCTTACGTTTACGTAAAATAATAATAAAAACAAAAAACAAAACCAAAAACAAAAAAAAAAAATGCCTTCGCAACATTTTCGTTGTAATCCATCTTCGAAAGCAACAACGTCCTTTGGGATATACTGACTGATGAACTTTTTATATACCACGGCAAACGCGGGCAAAACGCGAAATAGAAAATAGCGGAAAAAGCGAAAAGGCAGCGTGTGCGCGCTAGCTTTTTGTGCGCAAGAGACTACGCAAAAACTACGGTTTTTAAAAAATGCAGGCATGCAGAGAAACGTCGCGACAAATAAAGCAATTATCTTATCGTATTATATAACGTGTGCCGTACGTGTTTGTACGTTTTTGATTTGTGTTTTATTTTTTTTTTGTTTTGTTTTGTTTTGCAGCGCGGAGACGGTATTGGTGAACGAGACGATGCCGTTGCAACTCGCAGTGTGGGGGCCACGTGGGAACGCTCTGATCTACGTATATCAGAACAATATCTATTACCGTCCGGAAGTAGAAGTGCCCGCCGACTATCAGATAACCAACACGGGATTGTTCGGAACGATCTACAATGGAGTTCCGGACTGGGTGTACGAAGGTAAAGTAATCTCGTAGTGATTTTAATCGATCGTGACTTCTTGACGGTGAAATGTTTTTTTATTTTTTTTTATTTTTTTTTTTTTTTATTTATTTATTTTTTATTATTTTCTTTTGGTTCACAAAAAGAAAGTAATACGTCAAAGTCAAATGTAAAAGAGATTGAAGAGAGTGGGTTAAGGACACAAGTTTATCTAAACGTTTTAGCGTCTGTGCGAATTTCACGGAAAGCCGATACATCGCGTGATCCACTTTTTGCGGCCAAACGCGGCTACAAAAGACCATCTCGATTTATCGTGCTCATACACGTATCGCAACGATTCAACGAGTCACGCAATATTTTTCATTTATCCCTGCGAGAGATCTGTTTCTACAAAGCGTTGCAACAACTCTTCGCCCGGCAGCGAAATATTTTATTTAGCTTCTACAAAACTTTCGATTAAAGCGGAGCTAACGAAATAAATATGTTTTATAAAAAAATTCGCCAGTCGCGTTCTCCTCGTGAATTTATTTGATTGAAGTTTTTGATTTGTAAAATTAGAAGAGCGCGCGTCTTTGTTGTTGCCGCGTCTTTGTGTGTGCTCGCCGTTTTTTCTTTCGTTGTTTTAAGAAATTCGAACAGCTAAGGTGAAAATGCACATCACGAACTTTCTGACGAATCGACATTTTCTCTTTTCGTCTTCTTCATTCAATTTACTCCGATTGAAGCAACTCGCGACATATTCGACGCGAAATTGATTACTTCTGCAATAAGTATATTGACGATTGACAGTATTTTGATGATTGACAGGTCAAGATCGAAATAAAACAAATCAAAACAAAACAAAAAAAAAAAAATAAAAATTGTTCGTCGCGTTGTCAGGACGAACAATCGACGTGTGTGTGCGCGCGACTGTTGTTATTTGCGCTTTTTTTTTCCGACACAAATCCGCATAAAAATATCCGCGGCTACGAAAAGCCAACGCTCAGTCTCGTAAAATCACAAGCGACGGGCGGATCAATGGATGCGCGACCATATTTAAAGGGATAAACGCCGGCAAATTGTCCGGATTCATAACGTCCGTGCTATTGGCAGTCGGAGCCCGGAGCAGCAGCTGCCGCCGCTGAAAAGCAACGGAAAAAGCCGGGGGTGCGCGATTTAAAATGCAGAATCACGGCGCGCTTTTATATGTATATCCGAGCGATTGCCTCGCAAGGCCGACGATGTCGTCATTCCCGCGCGCACGCTGACCGACGGCGGGGCGTTTATAGTTCCATATCGCGCGCGTCGTATTTATTCGCGCATTTACCCGCGCGTGATCATCACATTGAGATTTGTCAATGTCGGCGGAATTTTTATTTCTGTCATTCGCGCGCTGCATTTTCACACGCCCGTCAGCGGCTTGTGTAGCAAATCGTCGAGAGCCGTTGCGGCACCTTTCGCGAAATCCTTTTCTTTTTTTTTTTTTTTTTTTTTTTAATATTTTACATCTCATATAATATTTTTGAAAAAGATGAAGTAGAAGAAGAAGAAAAGAAATTTGTTTTCGCGCGAAAGTCGCGACGGCAAATAAAGTCCGTGATTGTTAACGCGAGCGAGTAAATAGATTTTCTTCTTCGAGATTTTGCTTTCGGGAGTTTGCTTAATCATTGGCGACGCTATATGCGATATTTGGACACGTACGTGTTCTTCGTTTGTCAATTGTGACTGGTGGTCGTGCGAAATAATTAAATCGCACCGCCACACCGCGCGCGTCCTCGCGATTGATCCAGCTACACGTCCCGTCGGATAGATGATGGAAATTGTTTACGCATCTCTGTTGTTGATTTATTGCGAAAGTTGCGAGCGAATCGCGCGTCGTTCGGCTAGAGTGCATGCACGACGCTCGTTCGGCTCGGTTTGTTTTCGCCGCCGGAAGTGGCGTTGCAAATGCGCGACGATCGGAGTTTGGATTCTGTACCCGGGGGAGGGGAAACTGATAACTCTCCGTCGCGCATATCCGCACGCAGATATGCGCCCATCAAAGAGATCCAAAAACAAACGCACGATTTCTCGATTTTCGAAAATTTGCCGGAATATCGCAATCACGCGCGCGTTTATTTATTAATAATAAACGCGAGGGCGCAAAAGATCGCGTGCGGCGTTGAGTTACGCGAATGTAAAACGACACGAATGTAAATATTCGCATTTCACGACGATATGATCAATTTTAATAGACATGCTGGACAACAGCTTGTACATTTTTTTTTCACAATTTTTGAAAAAGAAACATTGTTTTAAAACGCGCGATATTATATTAATATCGCGTTATAAAGAAAATATAGTGGAAGTTTATTTTACTAATTTAAACATTATCGTTCGAAAAACCGAGCGGCGGGATGTTGTACGAAATTAGAACGGGAGAGTCGTTGAATAACGTCTTTATTAGTCCGCATTATCTTTCTCTCTTTTGCATTTACGCGAACGTTAATAATCTCTCTCTCTCTATCTTCTGTAACGTAAACTTAGCCTAACGGAATATCAGACTTATATTTTATGCATTCACAAAGAGATATTCGAATTGCAGCAACGAGAGCTTCGACTGAAAATTTCACTATTCACGAGCTCGACTGCCGCACAACTCGACTGCTCATCTCTCTCTCTCTCTCGACTGGTCGTCGAAAAAAAGCGCAACGAATGGTTAGCTGATGCCCAAAATGTTTTATTTTTTGGGATTGTTTTTTATTTCATATGAAGCAAAAACAAAAAAAACGCCGCACGAATGTAGCTTCCAATTTCATAAAGCTTCTGATATATAGATTTTTTTTTTACATACATATACGTCTCTCTTTCTAAAAACAAAAAAAAGTTACGAGGGAAGTTTTTTTTTTTTATCTATCTTTTGAGGGAGATGTATCATGTTCGTTCACATTTTTGCGCGCAGATCACCGGCAAAATGTACGTGACGGTTGTAATGTAAGACAAATTGTGCAAAAGAGAGAACGTCGAGTGAAGATGAAAAAAAAAAAAAAAAAAAAGTAAAAAAGCGCTTATTTTGCGATTAAATAAATTTCTCTCGCCGTGCAAAAGACGGATAATATGTTTGATATGACCAATCCGCGCGAGTGTGTCGCTGGCGTGTTTAAATATTTCGCCGATCTCGCCGAGTATTTGTGGGACGTAGTAATGCGCCCCGGAAATGCTATCGGACGTTCATGTTTGTGAATGCGTTTGAATGCGCCGTACGTGTTCGTAGCGCGAGCTGATGACAAACTGCCGACTACGTTATCGGGCGTTAAATCCATTACGAATGGCGAATGATTAATTAATACGACGATGACAATTAATTAGTGATTCTCATTTACACGCGGTATGTATTAAAGGCTGCATTATAGGAACTGAAGCTTTTGAGCTTTGAATGAGAGAACTGAAGTGCGAAGAGAGAGCGAGTGTAATTATTTACGCAGAGATATTTTGTGCAAATTGAACGATTATTGTATATACGCGAGACAATTAATTTAAACGAAATAATAGGCTCGACACAAAGATCTCACGGTATCGTTCATCAGTGCGAAATAAATAAATTTTTGGAACAAACACGCGAATTTTCTCTCTTTAAACGATATTACTGATTATTTTCCGACGATTTCGATTCGCTCAAAATATTTCATTTAATCGCAACAAAAAAAATTGTTATAAATATTTTTTTCAATCTAAATTTATTTATTTAAATCTATTTATTTATACGTAGGGACTATAATCGAAAAGACAGTTGTTACTTCGCGAGACGTCAATAAGCGCGCGACGCGCGAAATCGTTTCGCCTTTGCGCATAGATTCGTTTCGTGAGTTTTGTCGAACAGCCGCAAAAGAGTCGTCGATAAAGTGTCGCGCGCCGTCGCTCGAGGCACGTCAAGAAATTCTCAACAGCTCGTATTTTGTTCCCCGCCGACGACGTCCTCGTCGACGACACGTACACGTACATATATTCTGGCTTCTGGCGCGTAGCTTCGGATTTTCTTAGCTAAGAAAAATTCGCTCTTTGCCGCATATAGAGACCGAGTTACGTGGAGATTTTCATTTGGACCGTCAGAGAATTCGCCAACAATATGTGTGACGGGGGATAAAAGTTATTTCTTTTCGGCGAAAACAATTTCTCCCCGCGTTCTCGTGAATCTGAGATTTATATTGCGATTTCGCAGAACTTCCTCTCTTTCTACTTTTTTAAATAATTGTCAAACAGAAAATTGTCAGAAATAGACGTTTTTCGAAAATAAACAAAATATTATGCGAAGTCATATCATCGAGGCAACATTAATTGTTTCATATTCAAACCTTGTACATAGAGAGAGAGAGAGAGAGAGAGACGCGCGAGGCAAAGAGTTATTTGCATTACACGAGGCGGATACTGATGAAGATGTCGCATCTTGCACAGTTATGGCGATACCGTAGCAAATTGCGCGGTAAACAAGTAAAACCCGGGACTACACGGGAAATTTGTGGAAGGTAAGATCGTGTGTCAAGTGCATTCTGTGCGCCGGTAGAACACGCTGGATTAATTATTAAAGATGGTTCTAGCTCGCGCAATGATCCAGTTCGCCGTCGTGTTACTCAATCAATTACAAGACGCTCGTGTCGACTACGCGCGGGTTAATACGTTGGAAAATATAATTAATGAGAAAGAGAACGCGTGATATATATTTGCATCGTTACGTGTGGTGTTTTTATCTCATAAAATTAATAATCCAAACGCGTAAGATACGATTCAAGAATTTCACACATGTGATTTCTTTAAAAGATTTTTTTTTTAGTTCTCGTATTCGCGTTTTCTCTCGATCGGTGTGGATCCACGTACGTACGTGAGTTAAAGCCGAGCGCCGCGTGTACGCGGTGTTTGCGGAATCATCACTTAACGCCCGTGAGATCTCACGCGCTGTGACACATTAATACATTCCGTGTATAAAAATGGAAATCCGCGATCTCCGCTTCTTCTCACCGAATACGACGGATGTGACGTTAATAGAGTAGCGGGCATTTAGAGGAAAATCTCCCGTTTCTCGAAATCCCGGGGCTCGCTAATAGCTCCTCCTCGCGTCTCTCTTCGGGATTTCGATTTCCGATCGGATTCTAAAATGTTTCTCCGCTCTCTTGACTGTCGTACCCCCGCGAGAGAGATATCTCGTTTATCCCATTTCTTCCGTTTCCCTTTTCTGTCTCTCTCTCTCTCTCTCTCTCTCTCGTACGCGCGCGCGGGATTTATATTATTTTATATACGCGTGCGTTTCACCCATTGTGTGCGGACCGGTAAACATGCACGGCGCTGTGCAGACGAGATCTCACTCTGTTTCCCGTCTCGACATGACAATCTTCGATTGTTCGCGAGCAAGACGTTTGGTATCGCCATTTTCTTCGCTCAATTTGTTTGTTGTTAACCTCTGAACCGTGTGACGGTCATCAATGTGTATTCGCGCAAACAACACTTTTTTATCTTCGAAAAACATTATTTCGATTTTACAGGCACTCAAAGTAATAATCTGATGTTTTTTTTTTCCCCTAGAATTTACATCGCGCGTTTTGCAACACTCCGTGTGTACAATCTTTCTTGCGATTTCTTTTGACGCGTCATATTAGTCCAAGTCTCTTAGCGCGAAATGATAAAAAAAAAAAAAAGACCACCCATCGGAAAGATTACGTGGGGAGGGGGGAGGGGAGGAGAGTTATATACCACACGTCAAAGTCACAAAGCTCAATAAAATGGTGCGCGAGAAGCCGTAAACAGCGTATTCTCGGACGGACATTGCCGGACGTAAGTAATTGGCCGGCCGGTCAGACCGGATTTATCGGTCGCTCGACAAGACTTGTTCGCCTCCGCTTGCCGGCTCCAGCGTCGTTTTTCCCGCGTGCCATTCAGATACGGACGGCTTCCTTATCTCGTCGTCTCTCGGTGTTCCCCCGACATAGACACACATACATGCCCGTCCAGCCGGAATCTCACCCTCGGGATATTTTTCTCCCTCGTCACGTCCAAGCGAGCTGCGCAACGTAGCGTCGCGTCTTTGTGCAGTTTTCCTTCCTCACCGCGGCATTTCTTCCTCTCTTTGCACTTCTCTCTCCACCCTCCCTTCTTTCCTTCCCCTTGTGATCTTATCCCGTTTTCTCTTCGCTCGCATCTCTTCCCTTTGTATTGCCTTCTGCTCCTTCGGGTTTGCCAGAAGCGGAGCGTTTTTTTTTTTCTTTTTTTTTTCTTGTCCCGTCTTTCTTCCTCCCGACGTTTCGCGACGTCGCGAGAACTGTGTCTCCTCCCCTTTCTCAACGGGGGAAGGTCTCAAAGGTCTCGCCGACGTCTTTTTCAAAATATGCTAACTTCTCCCATTTTTCCCAACTCGATCTCTCACAGGCGGGATTTACACGTGACGCATTTAACTCGAACGATAAGAGGAACCTCAAATGAAAATACCAAGAATTTAAATTCTCACTCTGTTCTTCTCCCTCTCTCTCTCTTTCTCTCTCTCTCTCTCTCTCTAAGAAATAATATTTATTCCCTTTGTAATTTAAAGTCAGTAGTATTTTACCGATTCATTCGTTGAAGTCTTTTGTAAAATTTTCGAAGTACACCTTCTTCCGCAAGAGTTTTAATCTTACGGCGCTCCCGCACAAAGAAAGAGGATCTCTCTTTTCTCTTCACGACTCCGTGCCCTTCTGTACTTTTGAATCAAATCGCGTCTTCTTTCAAGCTAGTTTTCTCTTGCCTCTGCCCTCTCAATTACCTTTCCGTCCGGGTTCATCCGAATTAAATATCTCGCAATAACTTTTCCTTTCTTCGTACTTTTTTGCGAACCCTTTTATTTTCCGAGAACATGCGTCGTATAGGGTTAATCCCGGCCGCTGTCTCCCTCTTCCATTCTTTTTCGCTATCTCTCTCTCTCTCTCTCTCTCTCTCGCGAGAGAGAATGAGAGAGATGCGCTTCTTTACTCGTCGTCGCTTGAAAACGGAATATTTACGTCCTGCTGCGCTCGCGAGCCGACCTTTCGAGAGAGGAAACGAAGTAAAGAATTTCCGTCAGGTTCTTTCGCAACTCGTCCGGCTCCTTTCCGACATTCCCTCACGCTTATTGCATCAGCGATTTTTTCCCCTCTCTCCTGAACCACGACACGACGCGGTTTCTTTCCTTTGTCGGGTTTCTCTTATTTGCGATGTGACAGCGACGCCGCGACGCCGGAAGACGCTTTCTTTTTTTTTTGCATTTTGTTTCGTCGAAACGCTGGAATTGACGGGAGAAAATGAAGTGTGTAATTGCGCGGTGCGCGCGCGCGCGCGTCGGTTGCGAAGCGTGAAATTTGCGCGGTAAACTTTTTTGGAACTGACTGGTGTGTATAAGTTAGTTGAAATAGTAAGTAAGTTTTTGACAAGTTATCTTCACAAAAGAACAAAAATTGTAAAAAGATAACCCGAAGATCCACTCTTTTGATGCTACAAATACGAAGTATTCTCCCTTCTCTTTCTCTTTCTGTTTCTCACTTCTGGCAAGTCAGATCTATTGAATATTAAATGTTGAAGCGCGCGAGAAACTTATTGATTTATTCATCTCTCTCTTCTCTCTTACAATTTCACTAGAGCAATTTAGAAAAGGAAATGAATAAAACAAACGAACGAACTTTGACGTTAATTCAGTTCAAATTTTGATAACAGAGACTCTTTTTCCTCAAATGAACTATATATGTACATCGCGCGTCTGTAAGAAGATTGTAATTACTTAATGATAATAATAATAATATTTCGCGTGTCGCGAGGGGGTAAATATTGTAAGCGCTAAAACGCACAAGAAGCTGTGTAATCGAATCTATTCTCTCTGTTCCTTTGCCAACGCCTTAATTCATCCCGCAATAATGAAGGAGCAGAAGAGAGAAGTGCATTCGCTCGGTAGGGCTGCTCGTAATTACGCAATATGCCGGATGGTCTCGGAACGGAACTTTCTTTTCTCGCGCGCGGAAGTTTACCGAGACAGAGAACCTTGATTACGACTTCTCACTTCCTCCGGTTTTTAAACATTGCGCTTTATCGTTGCCTGAACTTTTTAATCGCGCGCTTGTCGTGCAAAATTAATAATAGAACAGCTCCGCGTCGTTCTTCGACACCATTTAGTGAAAAAAGGAAAAAGGAAAACAAGCTCGGTAAAATGTAAAAGGAATTTTTTAAAGGGAGCAAAATCACATTGCGAGACTTTTTTACGGCAATTCTCTTTGATACCGTCTAGAAAATACATAATTGTGAGAAACGGGGGATAGATTTATTTATTTAATTTCTTTTATTATCTCTAAAAGCCAGATTATGTTACACAACGTACCCGTAGTGTAAATTACACGAGGATCTCAGCTCTTCAACGGAAAGTAAGAGTGTCCACAAGGGAACAGAAGTGTACCCTTTCCCTTCCTCGTTTTCACGCTTTATTTATCAAAATACAACGTGGGAGACCCTTCAGGTAGAAGTGCATCCCTTGCGCGCGAACGAGTTCTATAATTATACCGGGGGTGTAATGCCCCCCGGTGAACTTTGCTTGTGAACTTTACGGGGGACGAAACCGTCCCGCAATTTCTCGCTTCGTCGTTAGCACGATGACCCCCGCGACAGACGAGACCGTAAAAAATACGACATCGGCCGTAAAGCCGATACGCGCACGTGGAACATCTATGATAATTTTCCTTTTGTAGAGTTTTTATTGCCGACTTTATTTGCGTTAAAACGAGGACACGGGGAAAGAAGAACGGTAAACACGGGAGGACGGAAAAGTTGCTTGCGAATCTTTCGCGCGCGCTTTGTTTATTCGCTCACGCGCGCCGCGGTACGTACCCTGTGGTGTACGTACACTGGTTCATGATTGAACGCAATTTTTTATTTTTTTTCTTGTTTATCTTTTATCTCGTGTTGTCTAATACCGCAAAGTTACTAAACAACTCATACACATACGCAGTTATATCTGCAAAAATATATCGACTTACAGTATGTTAACAAAAATGTGATATAAGAGATATATATATATATATATATATATATATATATAGAGAGAGAGAGAGAGAGAGAGAGAGAAAGATTGTTTACATACTGTTAGTTAACTATTTTTACTTACAATAGGTTGTTGTGCATTTTGTTTTGTTTTGTTACAGAGGAAGTGTTTGGCTCGAACCAGGCGCTTTGGTTCTCTCCGAACGGCACTAAATTGGTCTTCGGCTATTTCGATGATTCCAACACTCCTGTTATGTCTATACCGTTCTACGGATATCCCGGGAGCTTAACTTTCCAGTACACGTCCTCGATACCGATTCACTACCCAAAAGTGAGTATACAAAAATTTGAGTTTTCCTTCGGAATTTTAAACGGAAGGTTACAATAGCTTACAGAAATGTGCAATAAAATGTGCATTTCCATTTACGTAAGGTTCATTGAAATTTAATTTATCTCGTTATTATCACTTGAGCAGTTTTATTTAAAAAATTCACTCATTAAACAAAGAAATAACGCGATAGCTTATTATGCGAGGTAATGTAAATTTTTTATACATAATTTTAAACCGGAAAAATTTTAATATGATTATTATTTTATGTTGTTACAAATTGTGATTACGTTCTGCGCACAGTGGTTTTCGCGACGACGTGCTTGTTACGCATTTTGCGTTTTTAATATATTCACCCTTTTTTAATTAATTATCTTTTTTCGCATATGTGTGTCCGCGGTGAAAAGATGTCTGCGCATTCGGGGAAAATGAAATTTTTCGCAGAGAAAAAAGATACAACACTTTTAAAACGCGATTCCCGCGAGAGAGTGCGGATTCTCTCTCTCTCTCTCACACAGAAAGATGTTCCTCTTCCCTCCTCCCCCGCTCTTACTTCGCTTCCTTGCAAACCTTCGCGCCGCGTCGCCGTTCGAGATATGAAAAGTCATCTAACCGAAGTTTACATCCCGCGAATAGACGGCGGGATGAGTGTGAACTTGGTGGTGTGGCACTTCTGCATTTTTCAATTTCTTTTTATGACCTGCAATTGACGTTGCCGCAAAAAATCGTGGAAAAAATATCCGCCGTTGATTCAAACCTCGTTGAGAATGACATCTTTGTCTCCGAACGACAAACCGCAAGATAAAAAAAATGCCCGAATATAAGAAGCAAACAAGGGAGTAAGTCGCGGCGTCGCCGAATGTTAAAGTTTTTTTTTTTTACTTGAAAACGCGTAAACAATTTTGTTATTTTTTAATTGTTTGTTTTGGCGAATTTGTGTAAGCTCGAGTTTTGAAAAACATTTATACATCTTTGATGGTAGGTAATCTCCAACTGATCGAAAATGCGCGACAAAATTGAAACCGTGCGATTGTAACAAATACATTTTTCACCGTCGCGATGTACTTGAATAAAGTGCATACGACGAATAAATTTGTCTTCCGGAGCAATTTCAAAGTTTGACGTGCAGTTTTATTCTCATTGCCGTCTCTTAGAAAGAGAAGCGATTCTATAAGTGTATAAACTCCCGAGCTTGTGGACGGATTAAAGTTACCGGTCTCATCAGTTGAGTGATTCATTTCGCTTGATGTGCGCCATTCTATCATTTCCCCGGAGATGAGCACTAATGTACATTTATCTGGATTTCTTCTCCGTTCGAGACTTTATTGTGGTTTAAAGCTCAGAGAGATGTTTTTAATGAAAGCGCGAAGTAAAAAAAAAAATTCCGTATATACGCATTTATCTAAATTTAGTTAATATTTAAATATCCCGTTTCGCTCGTGATAAATAAAATCATGCAAATAATAATTCGAGGAACAACATACGATAATGCAAAAAATAGACGTGTTTATGTTTCCGCGCACAAAAAATGTTACATTCCTATGATTATAATTACAGACAAATAACAACACGCAGAGGATTATTACGCGAAAATAAAATTTTATTTCATAATTGTAAAAAATAGTTTGCACAACGTAACAGATAACTTTTACGAAATTAGTAGACTTTGTTTCTATAAAATTTCGATATTTTATTTGAAAAAAAAAATATGCCGTTTGAAAATGTTTGTAAATGAGTAAACACGTTTTGTTTTTTGCTTTGACAAAATTTTCGGCGTGATATTGAAACAAATGTATTTTATGTAAATATATCAAATTTAGTTCGTCAATTATTAAATTAGTATTAAATGATAAAGTTTTTCTGTCTTCCGGTCATTGGCGCGGTCGCTTGCCGGTGTCGCGCGGAAAGTTGGAGCGCGAAAACAAGAAACTTCTATAATTTATTATAACATAATTAACAATCATCCCCGCATTGTGAACCGACCAAGCTGTGAAGCGACCGACTCGCACCGCGTTACTTTTTAATGAAGCAACAGCCGCTTTGCGTCGGTAATTTAATATTAGTAGAATATCGCGCGACGTCGAACAAACGAATAAACACTGCGAGCAACAATTACAGTATTTCGCGTCTCAAGAGTAAATAAGATTGCCATTAAAACTTTGAGTGTCGAGACTATAGGGAGTACTCTTAAAACACCCGGTAAAACGAACAGTCTCTCTCTCTCTCTGCAAGGCAAAATCGAAGATTTACGTTTCCAATTTCATTAAAGAACATCTCTCTGCGCAAACAAATCTGCGAACAACAACTTTGCGCGCACTTGAAAAGAAAATTGTTGGTCCTTGTACGCGTCGATGTATTTTTTTTTTTTTTTTTTTTTTTTTTTATCTCTGCAAATTCTCGTTAACTCGAAGAGAGACGCGCCGCGTTGTTATTAAAGTACTACAATTTTTTTTATTGTTATACAAACTAAATGCGCGTGTGTGCTCTTTCGCGTTTTTATTTATTTTACCACGCTACCGCGTTGCGAGAGTGTGTAATGTACGTGATAATAATTTCAATATTCTCACGAAAGAAAGTCGTCCCGTTCTTTTTTTTTTTTTTTTTTTCTTACGTTTTCAGAGCGGCACGACAAATCCGACAGTCAAACTGTTCTGCGTCGATCTCGACATGGTGGCGCAGCAGGGTAATGTAACCTTGGTGGAGATCGAACATCCGCCGGAGCTGTCTACATCCGAGCGGATCCTGTCGGCGGTGGACTTCCCCACGGACAATCTCGTGTACGCGACTTGGATGAACCGGGTGCAGAACAGGGCGTACTTCCAGCTTTGCGACGTCGACAATCTGCTGCCAAATTGCACGACAGTAGGTACTTTCTCATTCTTGCGCGAAGCAATCTTCCGCAGCTCGTTTGACAGCTATGTAGAGAGCTCTCTTTCTCTCTCTCTCTCTTTCTTTTCCCTCTCTTTCTTCTCTCGCGAATCTTAATTTCGACGAGCGCTTCTTCTCCTTTAGTTGGGCAATACTATTTTAATTAGTGAACCCGCGCGCGACTCAGCCAATTCGCTCAGTTCTTCGCGCTCATTCGCGACTGCTCTTCTCTTGTACGGCGAACTCTTTGGCGTTATAAATTCAAATATATATCGGGAAAACACTGCGAGACTCGGCGAAATGTTTCAAATTTAATTCCAATGTCACAGGCACGAGAAGTTTTCGTGCAACGATTATTTTTCTCGCTTTTGCAACAAAAAAATACGAATTAGCCGCCGTGTTGTGGAAAATATTGAAAAAAAAAAAAAAAAAAAAAAAGAAGCGAGCGGGTCCCGAGCGAAGTGGTAATTACAAATTTTTCTATTGTTGTTCACTTTTTTTCTCACGCCGTCACATATGGAAGAACGGAGAGCCGAGAGAAAATAGAAATTTATCTCTTTGTGTGTCTCTCGTTTCATTGAATTCATGTTTGAAGCTGATTTAATTTTTTTCGGAAATATAAAAAAAAAAAAAAAAAACGCGAATATAATATCACGCCGAGACTCTCTCCCGGTGAGAAAGTTTCAATAGCGCGCCTTTTATGAAGAAAGGTACGACTTAATTGAGTTGACAGAACGCAATTTGCTGATGAAGGCACGCCTGATTGCTCTCGTAGGCGCTTTCGTATAGCGAGAAAAATGGCTGGGTGGAGCAATTCGAAGCGCCTAAGTTCAGCGCGGACGGCACGTCGTTTGTTCTGATATTGCCGCGGGAACAGAAGGACGGCAGCAATTGGCGACACGTTGTGCTGGTTACGAATGCAACCAGCGGCAGACCGACCACCACCGCCCTCACGTACGGCTATTTCGTCGTGACGGAGATACTTGCCTGGGATCAGGAGGACTCGCATCTGTAAGTAACATGCACACAAATCGAGACATTTGTTTGCTAAACATGACGAATTCGAAATTGTCCGAAAGATTGGCGGAAAATCGCTTGCGACACAACTCGTGACGTTCCGATTTCGCGATTGGCGTAAGAATTATTATTGTACATTTGTATATTAAAAACGTATTAGGAATCACACACACACACACGTGCACACGCAAGTTTTTGCCGAGATTGAAAACAAAATGCGCGAGTAAGCGGAATGAAATCGCTTTGACCCGAGAGATCGTTAATGAAATGAAAATCCGTAGCAGGAGGCCAAATCAATTACTTAAAACTTCTGCGTCGATGATTTTCTATTAGCGATTGAAGCAAATAGATTGCGTTTGCACTTCCTTGGAAACTTTCCGACAAAATCTCGTCTTCTTTGTGCAGTAACTGCGAATTTATTGAAACGCCGAAGATCGATCGACTTGCTGGCAATGCATAATGTAATGGACCAGAAATATAATTAAATTATCTTAGCGACGCTATCAACGTGATAAACGCAAATTCACGTTTTTAATCGCGCACAAATCTCCTTTCGGGTGTTGTTTATTTATTTATATTTAATTTTTCGGGTTTATTTAATTTATTGAATTTTTTTTGCCAAGCTCTAAAAGTTCTCAAAAACCCGTGGAAAAGTTCTTCTCGAGAAGAGGGAAATGGAATTTCGGTGATGCATTTTTCTTTCTTCCCGTGGAATATAGCGCGAACTGCCGCGCGTCGCATGCATACGCGCGATCCATAACAGAGCAAGTCTAGATGCTCTTCGCTCTCTCTCTCTTTCCGGGAACGCTCATCCCGGCTGATCCCGATGACGTTCGGGGAAAGATAGCGGGCGCGCGAAATGGCTCGGAAGTAATTTGCGAAGTGAAAGCAGAACTCTGCGACGACGGCGCTGGAAAGTTGCGTGATGTCGTGGCGGCTTTGGGACGAGAGAAAGAGAGAGCGAGCGAGCGAGCGAGCGAGATAAAGGGAGAGAAGAGCACAGGCACTCCCGAAGGTTGGTTGACCTCGCTTCGCAAGAAGCGGCTGACTTAATTGCGCGTTCATAAATTAAACGAGATCTCCGTCTAGGGTGAGCTCGTGCTACTCGTCGTCGTCGTCGTTGTCGTCGTCGCGTCGACGTAGTCCCCGCGGCGAAATTCGCTTTTTCCGCGTCTCGAAAATCCGCGCTGGTCGATTAACGCCCGATGGAAGTGGCCGCCGACGGGAATCGAATTACCGGCGGGATCACGCCGATCAGAAGTTGAAAACGTCGTTGTCGGCTTCCTGCCGCGCGTTTCCTCAGGAACCTTGTCCTCGGAAAAGATCTATCGGAAGATCCACTCCGTCTTGTGGAAAAATTGCTTCCATCGGACGTTAATGACGGTCGCTTAAAGTTTCGTTGGCGAAGAAGAAGCGAGCGACTGAAATTCAAGGTTGAGAGAGAAAACTGGAAAAAAGAAAGTCCGAGTTACGATCTCGCGGTGCGAGACTCTTTAAAATCCCGTGATAGCTCTTATTTTTGCGATTTGTTCCAAGTTTTCTCCTCCGGTACTTTCTTGAGATTGCGTGTCGAATAGAAGCATCTCTCTGTTTGATGACGGGAGCGCGCGTGCTCGCGCGCTCGAAATGAATTTAACGATGATAAGTCGTCGATTTTCGTTTTATATTCGCGTCGTTCGTGCCGCCGCGCGCACGCAAGAAGACGAGCATCAACGAGCACGCCATTCGGCTAACGCGCATGAATTAATCATTAGGACGGGGCAAACAGAGGGACGACGTTTGCGAACGAGAGTTATTCAGCGGCGTCGCGCTTGCGGCTTGCGGGACGACGTAATGCGTGGAAATCAATGCGCGGAATCCGCAATAGCGGCGCATTAACATGTGCCGGAATGTATCGATACGGTATGTTCATATCGTTGTATTGACGTCTTGGTCGCAGATTCGCACATATTGATTGTTGTTATAGTTTCCGCAAATCCGATTTGACGTCATTATGTATAAATGACGGAACTTGGATTGAGATTAATTTACTTGTCCAAAAGACAATTCGCAGCGCGTCAGATTATGATTATTGCGGCCGCGAGGAAACAGATTTTGTATTAATTATTTATCGAAGGAATAAGCGTAAAAAAATCTAACACACGACTTTTTTAAGGTTTTTGCGTCGGGGATGAAATCACATCGTTTTAGAGTTAAGGATGTACATCGAAATAATGAAAAATAATCGTTCATAAATTGCAAAAGAGTTGAATTAGAACGTGAATATTTTATATTTTTGTTTCCTGTAATTTTTTTGTAATAATAAAATAGTAGTTGCTTTTGAAGAAATTTAATTTATGAGACAAAAATCACAGACGCTCTTTCGATCTCATTGTCTGTAACAATCAAACTCAGATTTTTTATATAAAAATGTCACACACACAAATGTATATTCGCAAAATATTGCCGGTGTTATCGTAACATGCCATTCGTCCTTAAATTGCTTGTAAGACGCGCGGCGAGACGCGCGTCCTAAGATATTAAACACGTTAAACGCGCGCTGAGATCGCCATTGCTCCACCGCGTTGCATCTCCCCAAACGGGAAATGCGCTCGAATTAGTTTGTACATCGCGAACAGTTCGCGGACAGCCCGGCCACCGCAAGTTTCTCACTCTCTCTCTCTCTCTCTCTCTCTCTCTCTTGTGCCGCGGGGAAACGTTCGTGAGCTGTATCCGAAAACTCTCCGTCCCGGTGAGGGCCAAAATGAAAACGTCACTGCGCCCCGGTGATAAACACCGGGAACGCGGTTACGCCCGTTCTATTAACCGCCCTTATTATTCCAGTCGTCGCGTCCCGCACACTCGTTAACCCTGAACCTCGATGTATATATCCCGCAGGATACATCTCTCTTTCTCATCATTCCGAAACGTTCCCTTTTTGCGATGGCACAAATGGCTTTTTCATCATTTTTCGTCGCTCAGTAAAATTGTACACTTTCCGTCCGAGCGCGGAAGCGCGCCTTATCATAGTTTTTGTTGAAAAATTTTAATTGCAACATTTTTTCAAGAAAAAGTCTTTTGTCGCAGTAATTTTGTGAGATTTAAAAATTTTATTGTAGTATTTTTTTTTTTTTTTTTTTTTCTACTCGACGAATTTTTGAACATTTTGCTTTGTAATTTAAATCATCGAGCAAGAACCGGCGGCGACGCCTGATTTGCGCATCTCTCGCGGAATTGGCCGCGTATATCGACGGCGAGGGTGTGCACGGAGAAACAAGCGCTTTATGATGCTTTTTTGCATTCGTCGGCATATCCAATTTATTCCGCCGCAGCTGGAATCGTAATAGAGTAAGGCCGGGCAGAGGAAAGGCTTGTACATGAATGATGTACTCGTGCGGCGAGAAAAGAGAAAGAGAGAATGGGAGAGAAAGAAGAAGATAGAAAGGTTTTCACTCCCGCCATTTCAATTTCAACTTTTATAAAGTTCTTAACACCTCCTCCTTCTCCTCCTCCTCCTCCTCTCTCTCTCTCTCTCTCTCTCTCTCTCTCTATCTATCTATCTATGTATCTATCTCTCTCTTTTTCTCTCTCTGTTTTACTATGCAAAAACGCGGTCGGCTTGAGCTATTTAAGATTTAGAATAAACCGCTCAAAAGTTCGGGGCATTGTTTTCTTCCTCGACGGATTGCATGCCTTCTCACGAGGCCACTCTGACGGTTCCTTCGTCGTAAGAGGTGAGGAGAAGGAAATATTTCGGTTTAATCCTTAAACTGTAAAGCGCGCGCGCGCGCGCGCGGTGTTCGTGTTTTTCTCTTCCTCAACAAAAGTTTTTGAATTATCAACCGGAAGGAATTACATTGCGCAAGCGTTGTCGCAGTTTTTGATCGTCCAAGTACGAAACTCTGTAAGTTACAATAAATTTTCTCGTCTGCCGAGTAAATCAATTAGTGCGTGTGTACAACTACAAGCTTCTAAAATTAGATCATATATTTTCGGAAATAATTCTTGGCTGAAAAAAAAAAGAATTCACACAGATCGGAAGTTTCAAGTGACGAAAAAAAACGTTTTGCACTAACTTTTTTCATGGATATTGCAAAATACTGATTAAAAAATCTCCTTTGTTTAATTTACGAGGAAACTTTATTTTATACCAGGGTGCAATTTCCGATGAACGCAATATTATGTATGGAAGTCGAGTTGAATTCTACCAGAAAAAGCGTGTGTAAACAATCACAATCTATTCTCTCAATATCGATTATTGCCACTTTTATCTTGACGCTGATTGGACGTTTCTAGGATGTGTTTCTCATGATAAAACGTGACTAAAGTAAAGTCACGTGACAGGGAAGAGAGGAAAAATACCACATGACTAAAAATATATATTATATATAATATTATATAATATATATTTTATATGTATATAATATATTATATATTTATAATAGTATACACCTTATAGTGTATTATAAGTACTATATATGCACTACGGTGAGGTCACTGACCTTGGTCACGTGACTAAGGTGAGGTCACTTTTGTTACGATTTTAAAGACACGTGACTAAAGAAAAGTCACGTGTTGTTTTTCCACTCTTCCCTCTCATTATTTTTCGAGTTGAATTTTCACGCGTTATTTCATCTCTCATATGTGTATTATATGATTTGTAAGACGTACGTACTACCTGTCATTGCGATGACAGATTGTTTTTACTGACACAACACGTTAAAATAAAAATAATAACAGCGTGCGCGTAGCGCGCGCTTGTGTGTGTGTGTGTTGTGTGTGTGTGTGTGTGTGTGTGTGTTGTACTAGTTAAAAAAATAAAAAATAAAAATAAAGAAAAACGGCGTGCGTCATTAAATTGCTTATGAATAAGACGATGTAACGATCCCGCGGTTAATCTACGATATGTCCGCGTTTCCGCTCGACGTAAATTGCAGCTTCTCGCGATAAAACGCGATTGCCCGGCGTGATCTTTTGCAACGATATATTCAATCGAAAGAAGGTTCTTTCAGCCA